AACAATGGCAAAAAACAATTTCAAGTAGTAACATCATATAATCCTCACATCCTTAAAAATTAATAAATAAATCAATTTTCAAATTATTGTACAACAAAATAGTAGCACACCATATAAAACTTGTTCTTTAATTTTCTATATATTTTAATAGTTAAATGTGTAAATTACCTCTCAAAATTGTTGTATTGAAGTAAATTATCAAAAAAAAAGAAAGTTATCGCAATTTTTTACCCAAAATTTTTATTTTTAAGAAATCAAATTAAATTTAACGGTTGTTGTTAAACTTCATTCATGTATTGTTTTTGAAGTTTAATAAAAAGGTAATTATTATTGTTAAATTTGAGTTGATTTCTTAAAAATGAAAATTTAGAATGAAAAATTGCATCAATATTTTTTTGTGATGATTTGCTTCAATTCAACAATTTTAGAGGGAATCTACACATTTTATCTATTTTAATTTTTTTTTTTAAAAAGCATTAGGAAGGTATAGGGGTACCTCACATATTAAAAAAGGTTAAATGCTAATTTTGGTTCCTCAATGTTATAGTGTTACGCAATTTTTTTTGTTTAACTATTTTTTGCACTTTTTTATCCATCAACTTTAGAAACTGCACAATTTTGGTCCTTCCATCAATTAAACATGACATGGCCGTTAAGTAATTCCATAATGAAATTTTCTTTTAAATTTTTGATGGTGTGGCAATGACATGTCTTGCAATTTAGATTACATGAACAAATAAAAACACTACATCAGATGAATAGTTATATTTTAAGTTAAAAAAAGAGAAGAAAACCCTTTGATCCATCTTCTTCTCCTTCTTTCTTTCTCTTTCCTCTTTCCTATTGTTGGGTTTGACGGAACCTAGAGTAGATTTGGGCTCCACCGAACCCAACCATTGGGTTCCACCAAACTTAGCAGATCTGGGTTCAACAGAACCCAATAGTTGGGTTCCACTGATATGAAGGAAAAAAAAAAAAAAAACCAATAAGTTAAATTGACAATTCAAGAGTTGAGGTGTCAAATTGAATTGGTGAATAGATATTTTAGGTTGTGTAGGACAAATAGCAACCAGGGACTCATTATGTTATTTCCTTTAATTTTTCTTACATTTTTCCATTGGGCTATTTTGTATTGTAGTAAAAAATCATACAGCACCAGTATCTGTATATTGTGATTCCTCATTGTGGATATGAGAATATTCTGGTTTCTTCTTACTTGAACCCTTTGTATCTCTCATTTCTCTTTGTAACCTAGATTTATTAAGGAATATATATCAATGATTTTTCTGTCTTATTGTTTCTCATTTATATTTCTTTAGCGTCATCCACCAAACCCAACAACTGGGTTCCATCGAATTTAGTTACTGGGTTCCATTCCACCAAACCCAACAACAGGATAGAGGAAGAAAGAGAAAGAAAGAGGGGGAAGAGGATGATTTGAGAGGGAAAGGATAATAACGTAACTTTCCTTTTTTTTTTTATTAAAAATATAAATATTCATCTAATGTGTTTTTTTTGTCCATGTAACCTAAATTGTAAGACATGTCATTGCCACATCATCAAAAAATTAAAAGGAGATGCCATTATCGAATTATTTAACAACCACGTCATAGTTAACTGATGGAGGGATCAAAATTGTGCAATTTTTAGAGTTGAGGGATCAAAAAGTGCAAAAAATAGTTAAAAAAACAAAACTTGTGCAACATTATAAAGTTTTGGGACCAAAATTAACATTTAACCTTAAAAAAACATTAGAACCAGTCCAACTACATAAATCAAATCATAAATTTATTTATTGATTTATTTCTATATTTAATTTTTAACCATTTCTCTCTCTTCCTTTTCATAACTAATCTTTAAATAGTTTGATTTTTAGTTCTATGTGATTATCACATTCTGAAAAATCAAAATATTTTAATTACTGCTACAAATATGTTCTTTTTTTTTTTTTTTTGTCACCTATTGACTTTTACTTTTTTGAGCTAAATTGTAACTTTGTTTCATTAAATACGATGTCATCATACCACATGATCATCTATGTCATCATTTAATGGAATTTATAAGAGATAACAGACGTGATGAACGGCAAAATATTGAAAGAAAGGTCAATGACTAAATTTACAAGTTTAGAAGCACTAATTAAATTGAAAGTAATAATAAAAGCGAATAACTATTGGCATAATTTACTCTTTATTCTATATTAAATTACTGTTTTCTTTGATATATATATTAAAGTACTTTTAAAAAGGATAAAGACAAAATAAAATTTCGATGATAAATGTTTTCTTTCTTTTAATAATTTTTTGAATAATGATAAATGAGATAAAAAGTTGGGATTAAATTTGAAATTAATGATAAAATAGACATTAAATTAATGATGAAATTAAGTGTAGAAGGACTAATTAAATTGAAAGTAATCACATTATTTAAAATATTAAAAAAATAGACATTATATTATTTACTAGTTAATTCTTTTTATTTTTTCAAAACCTGTGATATTATATACATTAATTAATTTAATAATACAATATAAATCCCATCATTAATTTCAAATTTTTAGTCTAAATTCTTATCCTCCTTATCATTGCTCTAATTTTTTTATATATAAAAATGAATTTTGATATTTAGGTACCTAATTGGCACGTGACTTCTTGTACAAAAACAAATTGCTAAAATGCCGCAAAATGAAAAGAAAAAAAATGATGCCATGATATCATTGCTTTCGGAATTTTCGCAATAATAAGAGACTTGAAAACTTTAAGCAGAATGATTGTTACGCTAACCATAATACTGGTAGTTAAGTTGCGGTGGATGGCTAAGTGTCCAATTTTTAAAATTCTTGGTACCAATCAAGAATATTCAAAATGCTTAAGGCAAAAATGAGTGCAGACTTGACATTATGCACATAATAATTCAGGTGGAAAGAGGGATGACTATAGACACCACGACTATCACATTTCTACCTGTTGTTTTGGTCCAAATCATTGCAACTATATATGGCAGAGCGGAACCAAATCACGGCTTTGCTTGTCTAGGTAGTTATTGGAGATAATTATGGGTTGCAGATAATTATGGATTGAAGATAATATCTGGTATTTATTTGAAATATCTGGTATATCTGAAATATATTTGGCATATCTGTATTTATCTCATAGAATTTCTTAGTTTTTATTTAGTAGGATTCTCAGCTAATTTAGCTCAGTTGATTTAGCCGCCTTTTACTCCGATTTCTTGTATATATGATGTATTAATCTTTTCAAAGTACTATACTGAAATAGCATTCCATTCATAAATCTATCATGGTATCAGAGCATTCTTTCCTGTGTTTCTTTCTATAAGTCATAAATCTTTTTTTTTTTTTCATCCCATGTCAACCGCCACAGAAAATGCAACTCCTCTTGCAAGCACAACAAACATGGAGGCAAATCCATCATCTCCCTTTTATCTGCATCATTCCGCTGGTCCAGGCACTACACTTGTGACACAACTAATGACAGGGAACAATTATCCCACATGGAGCCGTGCAATTACCATGGCTTTTGAAGCAAAAAACAAACTTGGATTTGTTGATGGAACAATTCCAGAACCAAGTGCTACATCAGCAACATATACTATCTGGAAACGTTGCAATAGCATGGTTCTTTCGTGGCTTCTTAATGCTATCACCAAGGAGATAGCCAATAGTGTGGTCTTTATGAAGACAGCTCGAGCAGTTTGACTCGATTTGAAGGAATGGTACTCACAAGATAATGCCCCACGTGTTTTCGAAATTCAAAGGTCCATTGTGAATCATATGTAGAGAAATGATTCAGTCACAACATATCACACCACGTTGAAGAGTTTATGGGATGAGTTGTCTATCTACAACACCTATCCTATGTGTACTTGTGGGACTATGTCTGAAATCATTCAATTGGAAGAACAGGGGTGCTTAATGCAATTTCTCATGGGACTTAATGAGTCTTACAGCAACTTGAGGAGCCAAATCTTGGTAATGAGTCCTTTACCTACTGTTACAAAAGCATTATCTTTGGTTTTACAGGATGAGAGGCAGCGCTCCATTCAAGTACTTTCTCAACCACCTTACCCAGAGCAGTCTGCCATGGCTGCAAGTAATGTGTAGAGGTCTTATTCTGGCTATCGACAGAGTCAGTTTTTCAAAAAGAAGGGTACCATACCTTTCTATCATTGTGATTTCTGTGGGATGGATGGTCACTCTGAGTCTTGTTGTCGTAAAAAGCCAGACAATTCTAATTTTCCACAGAGGCGTGAGACTAGGGAGTTTCACTCTCAGCAGTCATGATTGCAGAATAGACCTGTGGCTGCAGTTGTCGATCATGAGGCATTACATTCAGACTGTGGCCAACCTTTCACTCAGGAACAAATTCAACAGCTTCTTTCCCTTATTCAACCAAATATCACAAATTCCTCTAATTCTAATCCATTAGTCAACATGGCAGGTAAACTTTCTAGTTTTTCTCAATTTCATATTCCTTGGATTGTGGATTCCGATTGTACAAGCCATATTACTAGTAAGTTACATTCTTTGCATGACATACGTCCTTATCATGGACTTCCAGTAAAGTTACCTAATGGAACTCATGTACCCGTTGCTCATTCTGGTTCTCTTAGTTTCAACTCTTCCTTACATTTAGACTAAGTTATTCATGTCCCTTCATTTAAATTTAACCTCTTATCCGTCAGCAAAATAACAAAAGCCTTAAATTGTTCTGTTTTATTTTTGCCTAATTGTTGCATTTTCTAGGACCTGTTAACGAAGAAGGTGATTGGTTTGGCAAAGGAGCATGATGGTCTTTACTACCTAGACACCACCAACAACAATTCACCAAATATTTCTCTTTCTGCAGCTACTGCACCCTTAGACGTTTGGCATTGCAGCCTTGGGCATCCTGGTTACAGTACTTATTCTCAATTTTCCAATTTAGATAAGAAGATTACCTTTTTCAATAATTGTCCTTGTAATGTCTGCCCTTTAACTAAACAAAGTCGAATAAGTTTTCCAAATAGTTCTATCTCTACATCTCATTGTTTTGATTTAATTCATATAGATATTTGGGGGCCTTATTCTACTCCATCCATCATAGGGGCTCATTATTTCTTAACGATTGTGGATGACTTTTCTCGCAATACTTGGGTTTTCTTAATGCAACATAAATCTCAAACATTCAGCATATTGCAAAATTTCTTCTTCATGGTTAAAACACAATTTAATGCCACCATACGTCGTGTTCGTAGTGACAATGGTGCAGAATTTTTTAGCACTAATATTGTTACTTTTTTCAACTCACGTAGTGTTGTTCATGAGCACAGTTGTGTAGATACACCTCAACAAAATGGGGTTGTAGAGTTCAAACATAGACATTTGTTAAATGTTGCAAGGGCACTTCATTTTCATTCCAACATTCCTTTAAAATTTTGGGGTGAATGCATATTGACTGCTACGTATCTTATTAATCGAACACCTTCAAAAATGCTTAAGGGCAAAACACCTTTTGAAATTTTGTTTAAGAAAGCTCCTAAATATGTGCACTTGTGTGTCTTTGGGTGTTTATGCTTTGGACATAATGTCCACATCACACATAAATTTGATTTTCAAGCACATCCATGCATCTTTATTGGTTATCCTTTTGGACAAAAAGGTTACAAAACTTTTGACATTCGAACTCAAAAGATTTATGTTAGTCGTGATGTTACTTTTCATGAAAATGCTTTCCCATCTAGTGTTGTGACCACTGATGCCTCCACTTTGTGCCTTCCGCTTCCTATTTCAAACATTGATTTTCCCCTAATGGAACAAGCTGATTCCCTACCTTCACCTGCCTCACCCACAAATGATATCATTTTACATCCAGCCTCCATTACAACTGACCCTCCACTAGCTCCTCCTATTGTTCCCATACCAAAATTGAGACGCTCTCAATGACGGACCCAAATACCATCAAGGTTTAAGGACTATCAGTGCTTCAACGTGCTTCCTCAATCATCTTCTCCGGTTTCAGGTACACATTTTCCCCTTCATCAATACTTGAGTTATTCTCGTTTTTCTCACCCATATTGTGCTTTCCTTCATTCTTTATCTTCTGATATTGAACCTGCAACATTTACCCAAGCTGTTAAGTTTCCTGAGTGGAGGGAGGCCATGTAGACTGAACTTAATGCCTTAGAAGACACTCACACATGGTCTCTTGTTTCTTTGCCTACTGATAAACAGCCGATTGGTTGCAAATGGGTTTATAAAATCAAAAGGAAATCTGATGGCAACATCGATCGATACAAAGCCCGTCTTGTTGCTAAAGGTTATACACAAGTTGAAGGTATTGATTATCATGATACTTTTGCACCTGTAGCTAAGCTTGTGACAGTTCGGGTTCTTTTGGCTATTGCTGCTATGAAACAATGGTCCCTACATCAATTAGATGTTCAGAATGCCTTTCTCTATGGTGATTTACATGAAGAAGTGTATATGCCATTGCCTCCTGGACATCCTCGCAATGTGGAGCATGGTCTTGTCTCCAAGTTGAACAAATCCCTTTATGGTCTTAAGCAAGCCTCACACAATTGGTTTGCCAAATTTTCTCATGCTTTACTTGCTATTGGATTTACTCAATCATTTGCAGATTACTCTCTCTTTTCTTTGTCTCGTGGAGCTTCATGTGTTTATGTCTTAGTATATGTTGATGATATGGTAATCACAGGTAGTAGTCCTTAACTAATCAACCAGGTGAAAGAATTCTTATTTAGTCAATTTTGCCTTAAAGACTCACCATTACAAGGCCGGATATCTCCTTTACAGTAAACACATTGAGCCAGTTTCTTCAGTCTCCTCAAAAATGTCACTTGGATGCAGCACATCAATTGCTTCGATATTTAAAGAAAACCCCAGGTCAAGGTATTTTACTTTCTACTAAGGGCTCTCTCCAGTTGACTACTTTTTGTGATTCTGATTGGGCAAGTTGTCTCACCACTCGACGCTCCACCACTGGTTACTGCATCTTTCTTGGTAATAGTCCTATTTCTTGGAAGAGTAAGAAGTAAAATAGTCTCTCTTTCTTCTGCTAAGGCTGAGTACCGTGCCATGGCCACCACAACTAAAGAAATTATCTGGTTGCATAGCTTATTGTCCACCTTTGGCATTCAACTCCCTACTCCTACTCCATTATATTGTGACAATCGAGCTGCCCGTCATATAGCTGCTAATCTTGTTTTCCATGAAAGAACAAAGCATCTTGAGATAGATTGTCATGTTGTTCATGAGAAAGACCAAGCTGGTCTTATTCTTCCACTCTCCATTGCTTCTGCAGATCAACCTGCTGATATCTTCACAAAGGCATTGGGCAAAGATCGCTTCCTCTATCTTTGTGACAAGCTGGGCATTCGAAATTTTCATGCTCCAGCTTGAGGGGGAGTATTGGAGATAATTATGGGTTGCAGATAATTATGGATTGTAGGTAATATATGGTATTTATTTGAAATATCTGGTATATCTGAAATATATATGGCATATCTGTACTTATCTCATAGAATTTCTTAGTTATTATTTAGTAGGATTCTCAGCTGATTTAGCGCAGTTGATTTAGCCGCCTTTTACTTTGATTTCTTGTATATATGATGTACTAATCTTTTCAAAGTAATATATTGAAATAGCATTCCATTCATAAATCTATCAGTAGTGATAACTGACTTTTTTTTAGGTAAATTATAAAAATAAGTATAAATTTTTAAAAAAATTTATGAGAAATTAAAAATAATTAAGTTTTAACGTCTAATTTTTTATATTATTAAATAATCAAGAAATATTCACTCTATAAAAAATAAAGGGTGTATATATTGTTCATGCTTCCTTTAGTTTGGTAGAAAATTATTATAATTAAGCTTATGTTTAAGATCACTGTAAAGTTTTAAAATTGTGATTTTGACTTTTTTAGTTTTCTATTATAAGAAAAATTATGTCCTTATTTGATAATTATTTTAAAAAAATTAAACATTAACATGGTCATTAAATTATATAAAATATTAATTAAAATTAATTTAATTATAATAAATTAACATTTTTATAAGATATTATATAAAAATACATTATGAAAAACCAAAGCATGCCAAACCAAACCTAAATCTCTTAATTAGCTATTCCTAACTTCCTAAAAGTGTTTAATAAATTTAACTTATTTTTATATTTTGATTAAAAAATAATCATTACCACTAATCATGCAAACATGACCTTATAGGATATTACTTTTTTTCTTTCTTTCTTTTGTCATTCCTGCGAAGAAGATGGCTTCATTTGATAATTCTTCAGTCTATATAATAATATTGTAGTTCCGAATATCATAACCAAAATTATAAATAGAAACCTAAATTTCTAACCCAACAAACGGTTGCAATGGCTCGTCTCCCCCATGAATTCATATATGAAGATTGCAAGAAGAATGTAACATAAGACAAAAAGGAAATATATATTAATGGATTGATCATCTGCTACGCTGCCTGGTATCGGTGGTTGACAGACTTATTCTATACATGCAGGTTACGTAACCTATGAGAATATAAAATTAAGGTTTTGATTTGGAAGCGTTTGGAGCCACACAAAATATTATAAATAAAATATTATAAGTGTGTTTAATTTATTTTATTTTATTGATTTATATTAATTATCGAGTGTGTTTAAAAACATTATTTTATAAATTATTTTTAAATTATTAAATAATAAATTTAATTATTTTATTAAATATGAATTAAAAATTATAATCAT